GTGAAGTCACTCCCGAGGTTCACTGTTCAGTCAGGGATTGGATAGCCCCATAAAACAAAACAGGACTAATAAGGCACAGCTGTCCAGGGACAAGGACTAGAAGGCAGGAGGGGACAGGAAAGCTGGTGATAGGGAACCCAAGGTTGAGAAGGGACACTGTTGACATGTCGTGGGGTTGTTAACCGTCATAGGGCAATATGTGTAATGTTTAATGAGAAACTATTTTGTTCTGTAAACCTTCATCTAGAAGAACAAAAAAATATATATATCTATGTGAGATCAAATTGACAAAGCAACTCAAAAGGTTTGATGAGAAGCCTAGGGGACAGTGCATTGAAGATAATGGTGATGGAGTAATTTGGAAAAGGATAGTGAAAATTGCAGCACAACTAGTAAGACTGTCAGCAATGTCACTGAATGGTACATGTAGAAATTTTTGAAATGGTGTATCTTTGGCTATGTATATTTTCACCAAAAAAAAAAAAAAAAAGGTCAAGAAGGGAGAGTGTTGATATGTCGTGGGGTTGTTAACCAATGTCATAAAACAATATGTGTACTGACTGTTTAACGAGAAACTATTTGCTCTGTAAACCTTCAACTAAAGTACTATAAAAAAAAATTTTTTTTAAAAAGGATCTGTATTTAACATGAAAAGATGCTCAGTATCTTCAGAGATGCAAATTAAAACCACAATAAAATATCACTTCACTCCCGTAGGATGGCTAAGAGAAAAAATTTTATAGAAAGGTGGAAAATAACAAATGTTGGCAAGGATGTGGGGAAACTGGAATCCTTATTCACTGCTGGTAGCAGTGCAAAATGGTACAGCCGTTGTGGGAAGCAGTTTGGCAGTTTCTCAAAAAACTGAAAATAGAACTACCATATCACCTAGCAATCCCACTTCTAGGTATATACCCAAGGGACTTAAAGGCAGAGCCTTGAGAACAGACACATGTACATTAATGTTCACTGCAGCTAAAGAGTAGAAACAATCTAAATGTCCATCAACGGATGAATGGATAAACAAAATATGGTACATACATACAGTGGAATACTACTCAGCCATAAAGAGAAATGAAGGCCTGATAAATGCTATAACATGGATTAACCTTGAAAACATCCTGCTGATTGAAATAAGTCAATCACAAAAGGACAAATATTGTTGAACTGCTGTATGCTGCGCTGTGTATATCATCACCCCAAAAAGTAATTTAAAAAAAAAATCTGTATTCAGAATAAGGAACCCTGGTACTGCAGTGATCACAGCGCTCGGATGCTACTCGAAGGGTCGGTGGTTCGAACCCATAAGCCGCCGCTCTGCAGGAGAAAAGATGTGTCCATCTGCTTCTCTAAAGATTTACAGTCTTCAAACCCTATGGGACAGTTTGACTCTGTCCAATAGGGTCACTGTAAGTCAGAATCTACTCCATGGCAATGGGTTTGGTTTGGGTTCGGGTGTACATCTACTCTTCACTTACCAACTATCTCGCATTTCCCATTTATGACAATAGTATAAAATCTACTGTTTGCACATGCCAGGCAGCTAAGCCAGGCTAAGGGCTTGACCTACTTGGAGCCCGGGGCACCAAGGTGCTGTGCTCCGTGTCAATCTGCGCCAGGCCGAAGGCAGGGAGTGTGGTGGCAGCCTGGCTAGTGGGGGCGGCAAGGCCCCAGCCGCACCGCGCAGGTGCCTGTCTTGCAACTGTCGCTTCATGCCCTCCATGGGCCACCAGCGGTGCGAGCCCCAGGATGGTGGCTAGGAGCCCGAGCCACCGTGCACCTGGGCTGCTACCCAAAAGCGCAGCTTGAGGTGTTGGCACTGCTGCTTAAGGACAGCGGCTTGGTGTTGGCCACCACACTCACGGCCGCTTCGCTCGCCCTGGTTGCCTGCCGGTGTCAAGACGCACGATCTTTTGGTGGACTGTGGCCTGAGCCATGCTCTGGGCCCTGCGCCTGCCTGACTGCTGGACCCATGCAGCTCAAGAAGCAGCATGCTCAAAGAGACTGGAGAAACCCCGAGAGTATGACCCCCCAGAGACCCTTTTAGCTCAGTTGTAAAGTCACTTCTGAGGTTCACCGTTCAGCCAGGGAGCAGACAGTCCCATAAAACAAAATGGGACTAATGAGGCACAGCAGCCCAGGGACAAGCACTAGAAGGCAGAAGGGGACAGGAAAGCTGGTGATAGGGAACCCAAGGTTGAGTAAGGACACCGTTGACGTGTAGTGAGTGGGGTTGTTAACCACTGTCATAAGGCAACATGTGTACTGTTCAATGAGAAACTATTTTGTTCTGTAAACCTTCATCTAAAGTGAGAATAGCAGCACAACTGGAAGAGTGTAGTCGATGTCAATGAACTGTGCATATAGAAATTTTTGAAATGGTGTACCTTTGGCTATGTGGATTTTCACCAAAAAACAAAAAACAAAAACCTCAGGGGAAAAAAAAAAAAAGGAGGAGCATGCTGCCACTGGCATGCCAGTGCTCAACCAGGTAGCCAGGCTGCTGGGCATTTTTGCATAACGACCTGGTCTTTGGAACCTAACCATGTCAATAAGTGAGGAGTGGGTTCAGTCAGAACGGCACTAGACTTTTATTCCAAATAACTAAATGTTGCTGAAAGCCAGCAAACAACTACATATATAGCCTTCAAAATTCAGAGTGAAAGTTAAGTTTCAACCTAGAATTCTATAAACAGCCAAACCATCGATCAATTTTACAGGTAAATGACATTTTAAGGCTTCTCAGAAAGTTAAAATTTTATCTCAATGCACTCCTCCTTGTGAAACCGCCAAAACGGAATTAAAAAAATAAGACAATGTGATTCAGTGAAAAAGGAATCTAGTACAGAAAAAATGATTAGAGACAACCAGTTTACAGGAGAGCACGAAGCCAAAGGCCATCACAGAATAGGTTTCCAGCAAAGGTAAAAATGGAACTGGTGTACTTGATAATATAATAAATATTATTTATAAGCACATGACAGAAATACAGGCACATTTGGGGAAAATGAACAATAGATCTACAGAAAAACAGGCAAATGACTAAATGAGATAGGTGTTAACTCCAGGAAAAACAAAGGCTTGTACAAGGATATGTGGCCTTTGTGTGACATTTGGCTTAACAGTGAACAATACACGCATAGTTATAAAACTATAAATATTTAGTACTGGTTCATCAAAAAACCAAACCAACTTGTGATATAAGTATGTGGGGGCAGTGAGGAAAAGAAAAGTGGGTAAATGTGTGAATGAGGAATCTTTAAGTCCTTATCTTCCATAACAAGAAGTCAACAAATGTCTAAAAGAAATGTTATCAGAGAAAACAAGCTAAAAGGACTGAGGATACTTGACTCTAGAATGGAAAATTAAGAGGAGGGGGAGATTAGGTAACATATTACTGCTATTTGACTTGAGTATCAACATGTGTTCTTCTTATAATAATAACTATTTCTGAAAGCATTGTATTTGTCACAGGAAAAAACCCGCATCCAAAACGTATGATAATCTACACCAGAATTCACTGTCATAAATTTTTTTTAAATTTTATCTGCAATTTTTAAAGCAATATATTTGAAACTTGGGAGGGACAATTAATGCAAGTGATGATAAACTCATAACAGAAAAAACTTTTAAGAAAATTTATAGAAACAAAACAATAAATATAGAAATCAATTGCTTAACATTACAGCCCAGCCAACTACAAAGTTGTTCTATAGACAACTATGTACTCACCATCTCAATGTGTTTCACATCTCAAACTTAATACAGTATATCCAAAACAGATTATTTCCCAAAACCTATTCCTTGCCATAGTCTTTGCCATCTCAATACTCTTCCCTCAAGCCACTTAACCAAATCATCAAAACAAAAAACCTAATCATCTTTGGTGTTTCTCCTTTCTTCATCCTCCTATCCTCAAGTAGGTTCTCTCAGGCCTACTTTCTCTGTAATAACTTTCAAACTGATGTGCAAATATTGTTTCTGCTCTCCTCAATCAACTCTGCAGAGTGATTTCAGGGACAAGGCAGAAGAAACGACAGAAGCAGGAACTTGAGAGATTTCATTATCCACGTGTAGCTAAAGAAGCATAACAAGATTGAGCAACTAAATTCAGTGCTATTATTAGCAGGAAGCTTAAAAATAATGTAATTTTCTTATAATAATTATAATACTAATAAAAAGAAGTAAAAGTTTTGGTGTAAAGACCAAACCAATTAAAAGAAAGAATTACTCTTGTCATTGTTTTCTAGAACTATATACAAAGAAGAGTTTAATTATCATTGTTCTTTAAATCTTCATTAGTTTTCTGAAAATCTGTTTCTGTAAAAACAGAGTCAGGAGACTTTCACTTTGGGCTATGACGGAGTAAGTGAAGCTGAACTTGCCCTTCTACTGTAAACAATA